CCTACAAATACTCCAAGACCCTCGAAATCCCTAACAAACCCTTCCAAAGCTCTCCAACATTGTTTTACTCCCTGCCAAGCTCTTCCAGGCCTCACACCCCCACATCCTGATGGGTTACAGGGCAACGCAACTCACCCCAGCTCCGACCAGCGTCGTCCCACCAGCAACCTTTGGTTATCCCGTGGAATGCCCCCCCAAAGCATCCCCAGATCTCTCTACCAGGCCTCACGCTCCGCATCAGCAGGTTACAGGGCAACACCCCAGCACTGGCCAGCGCCGTTCTGGCATCGAACAGCCGCAGGTCACTAAGTATAACAGCATCAAAGCCACCTAAGAAGAGTTGGTAGGAATCCCCATAAGACCACCAGACGGCCATCTACGTATGTTTTTTTGAGAAAATGAGAAATTTATGGAAAAAATCCTTGTAGTACCGGGGCCATTACTCGGCTTCGGTTGAGAAAGACAATTGTGTACGAGAGCACTAAAAAAATTCCTCTAACCTTCAAGGCTCGGATCAAAGGAGCATTCAGAACGAAAGACCCTCCTACTTTAGCGCCTTTCGGCAACCCAACCCTACCTGCCTCACCCCTATATCCCGATGCCCAATCTATACCCGACCTCATGCCCCCAACTAGTAGGTTACAAGGTGGCACGACCCACCCCAAAAAAACCACCACCTGCTGGGCCACAGGGCAAAGCGTCCTGCCCCGGCCCCAGCCAACATCGGCTAGTCACCAACTCACGAAAGGACACTAAAGTGCCTTCCACCCTCAACAACTCCCCAGATCTCTCTACCAGGTCTCATGCCCTCATACCGCTCGAGTTACAGGGCAGCGCAACCAACCCCAACACCGACCAGCGCCGTTCTGACCTCGTACATTCGCAAATTACTGGGACTCAGGACTAAGGCAAATATCAGTCAAGCTACCAGCCAGCACCATAGATGTAGATCCCCTCATTCATCATGCAAATATCCTCCAACAGAACCTTCTCAACCCTACTCCGACAAGTCTTACTATGGTGAAGCCACCATCTTCACCGTTGCTGTACCCTATTCAACCCTATAGGCTAGCCCCTTCGGCGCAGAGTGCGTCATCTCCCACCGTCACAGCTCCACTGTCCCCTGCCTTCAACTCCAAAACCTTGGAGGAATTTTTCAATTAAGAAAACAGAAATCAAATGGTGATCGTTATGTTCAGCGCCTGCTATTCCCACAGGAAGAAGGGAAACCCCATGGGGAGTCCAACGCCTATTAAGGTCTCAGTTACATGCAAGAAACAAACGCCATCATGTAAGAATTTCAAATTTGAGCAAACTCACGGTCATAGAAGGTAAATCACGAATATCCATCTACGAGATCAGACTAAGAATTTCAAGTTTGAGCAAGATCACGAGATTTCAAATTTGAGAAAATCAAGTGTAAGAATTTTTAAATTTTTTTAATGAGACTGCAAACGAAGTTTGAAACAGATCGCGAGATTTCAAATTTGAGAAAGTCAAGTATAAGAAATTTTAATGAGACATGCGAACGAAGTTTGGAACTAGTTTGAACCACGATTAGGAATTAGGACCTTGGTATTAGAATCAAATTTATGAAAATCAGTATGTAGAGGTTCAAACAAAAAATCGAAGAAAACAAAATTTGGAATATCAATTGCAACGAATTTAATCACAACAACAGTACGGGATCAATTGTATACACCATGTATAGGCCTAATGAATAAGATCACCTCTGAGGGAAAAAAAACATATGACCAAAACGTACTAAATTTTAGGACGGACTTAGAAAGACTTCCAACCAGGCAACCCCTCACTGTGCCCTAACGACACCAACATGATGCCCCATCCAACACACCCCTTCCCCCTCAAAACCTCAACTCCCCCTTCATCGGCTCTCCTTCTTCGGATGCTCGCAACACGACCTCATGCTGGTTAAACTTCACCATGACTATGTAAGGTCGAACGATGAAGATCCTCGGACCGCAGCAAAACTCACCTTCTACAGTAGATTATGCCGCGTTGTGAGACTAAACTATTGAGCCCGCCAATAGTCGCTCACAAGTAGTCTCGAGAGTATCAGGGACGCGCAAACTATGCCACCTATCACAGAGCACGTAGATACATCAACCCAATCTGAGGGAATCACCTAAATCAGATCGACCCCAATCCGTCGCATGGGCCCTTGAAACGCTTTTCCACAAACATTGAGCTGAGCAGCCGACTTCAAAGATCACACGGAGAAGAGAAGATGGCCTCTACGAACAACGCGAGCACTCCAACCCCTCCCATAAAACGCCCGCCATGTCTTGTTTTCATCACCACCCACCATAGCCCTGCCGCTTCTCCCACCGCCGTGCTCAATTCACTCCCGCCGCCTAGCCAGGCACCATGCAGACGCGTCACTTCGAACAGGGCATGTTTGGTCGGGCCGGGCGCAGCGCCCCCGGTAGCACTGCGCCCATTCCACGTGGTTGCATTTACCGCATGAGCGACGAAGAGGTAAGTGTGCTACGGGCACAACTCGACGACCTTCTCGAGAAAGGCTGGATTCGACCTAGTTCTTCGCCCTATGGTGCACCCGTTCTCTTCGTCCGGGAGAAGAACAAGGACTTGCGGTTGTGCATTGACTATCGCAAGCTCAACGTGCAAACCGTCAAGAACGCCGGCCCGCTTCCGCGCGTCGAATACCTTCTCGAACGGTTGGGCGGCGCTAAATTTTTCTCCAAGCTTGACCTCAAATCGGGATATCACCAACTCGAGATCCGGCGGGAGGACCACTACAAGACCACGTTTAAGACACGATATGGGCATTTCGAATGGCTGGTTATGCCTTTTGGCCTTACGAATACCCCGGCCATGTTCCAAGCGACTATGACAATGGAGTTCCGACACATGCCGGACAAATTCGTACTCATTTACCTCGACGATATCTTGGTGTACAGTCGGAGTTTGGGCGAGCATGTGGCCCACCTGCAAACCGCCTTGGAGCGGCTACGACAAGCCAAGTACAAAGCCAACTGTGACAAATGCGAATTCGCGCGGTAAGAGCTCAAACACTTGGGCCATTATGTGACGCCGCAAGACATCCGTCCGTTGCGGACAAGATTGAGGTCATCCGCGTATGGCCCGAGCCCACCAACACCATGGGCGTTCGCTCATTCATGGTGTTGGCAGGCTACTACCAACGCTTCATCACCGGGGACTCAAGGATCGCTGCACCATTGACAAGACTACAATCGCCAAAGGTGTCATTCGTATTCGACGAGGAAACGTGCCAGTCATTCCAAGCACTAAAGACGACCATGATCATGGCCCCCGCCCTTACCATCTACGACCCCACCTTGCCAACGGGAGTGACAACCGACGCCTCCGGCTATGGCATTGGGGCAGTTTTGGAACAACACGACAGCGACGACGGGCATCCCGTGGAGTACTTCAGCCAGAAGGTGCCTCCCAACAATTCACTTGATGATGCAAGGAAGAAGGAGCTGCTCGCGTTCGTGATGGCTCTCAAGCGATGGCGGCACTTCCTCCTTGGGCGGTGTAGGTTCACATGGGTCACCGATAACAACCCGTTGACCTACTACAAGACGCAGGATACGGTGAGCAGCACTATTGGACGATGGATGTACGTTATCGACCAATTTGACTTCACACCGAAACATCTCGCGACCTCTCCAATTGCACAGTCGATGCACTCTCATGAAGACCCGATATTTGCGCCATGACACATCATGCCTTCGCATTCGTCGAGGAACTCCAATGGCATTTCATCTGGGGCTACCAGTCCGATCCGGATTACACCACGCTCTATGTGCAACTATCGTCGGATCACCCGTCAACCAGCCACTATCGCATCGTCGACGGGTACTTGCTTCTCCAATCGGGAGGCAAGGACTTATAATGCATCTCACGAGACCGTTGCCTATGGACTCGTCTTCTCGGCGAGTACCATGACTCACGACTCGCCAGACACTTCGGAGTCAACCGAACGGTCGCAAGATTTTGACAACGATTCTAATGGCCCGACCTCATTACCGACTCGGTATTGCGACTCTTGTGGAGTTTGCCAACGAAGCAAGCCCCGCAATCGCAACTCCTATGATGAATCTCGCCCGTTGCCCATCCTGCGGGAACCCGGCCTCTCCATTGCTATGGACGTCACCGACCCGTTCCCCTGCGACCGCTTCGGGCACGACGACATCCTCACGATCGTTGACCGATTAAGCAAGTATGCGCGATTAAGCAAGTATTACGCTGCAGCTCGTTGACCGATTAAGCACGATCGTTGACCGGTTAAGCAAGTGTTACGCCATGGATCCCGAGCTTGCGCGACTCTTGCACACCGGCTGGATCTGCAGCCACGGCATCCCGGAAGACATCGTCAACGACCGTGACACTACTTTCATGTCGACATTTTGGACTTCTCTCATGAAGGTGTCCGACATTGAAATGAAACCGAGTTCGGCTCGGCATCCACAAACGGACGGGCAAACGGAGCGGGCACATCAAATCGCTCAAATGATGCTTTGCACGCTCATCCGTCCGGACCAGAAGGATTGGGTTGACCGCTTCCCCGACATCGAGTTTGCCTACACTTCGTTGCATCCGGCGATCGGCACGACTCCATTCGAGTTGCACCGCGGTGGCCGGAAAGGCCGTATCTTCGCTGATTTCCTACTCCCACGGACTGCCGACATTGACAGCCCTTGCTCTCCCGCCTCCGTTCGGAAGTATCGGGACTTGCTGGCTAAAGCCCGCATAAACATGCAAAAGGCTCAAGTTCCCATGCAGCAGCAAGCCAATAGGCGTCGCGTGCCATGTCCTATCTGCGCCAGCGACCTTGTTTGGGTCTCCAGGGAAGAGTTTGCGCTTGAGCAGGACATCTCGCGCAAGCTGCTCCCCAATGGTTTGTCCCTTGGACCGTAACATCAGACACAGGCAATGAGCCCGATGGCCCCTCATTCGTGGTCGAGATTCCGCCGCATCTACCTTTCCACGCCTCAAAGCTGGCTACATATACTCCAGCTAAAAGCAATGATTTCCCGGGCCGACGATCGCAAGACCGTCCGTCGATGGATGGTCATCAGGAAGTCGACCGCGTCATCACGGATTGAAAGTACGGCAGCAAGCCACGACAATACAAAGTTACCTTCAAAGCATGCGATCGTGACAACACTCGGTGGATTTCATGAGCAGATTTGCAAGCATCCGCACCACTGATCTATGCTCACTACGAACGACAAAGACTAGCTAAGGAAGCTTCACGACCTGTCCCTCCCACCCGGACTTCGGTCCCTCCCTTCGACAGACAGCTCCGCCCTCGCAGGTAAGCTCGGTCTTTCAGGGAGGGGGGGGTGTGGCATACTGAGCACCTCACGGGCCCCCACAGGGCCCGTCCAGGCAGGACAGGGGTTAGGTAGGGGCCCTTCAGGCCCTGTGTCGGTTCAGCTTAGGTAGAGGCCCGTCAGGCCTGTGTCGTTTCATCCTAGGTAGGCCCCGTAGGTCGGTAGGCCGTAGGTAGGCCCTGGAGCCCGTTTCGGCGCCAGACCCGGTATAGGCCCAGTAGGTGCCAGACCATTTCAGGCCCTTTTTCAAATTCGGCCTTTTTTAATTTGGGCACCAACTTTAGGCGCCGGACCGTTTTGGGCGCCAGGCCCTGGTGCCGTTCGGCATTGGTGAAGGCAGCCTCCCAGCCGGACCAGCACTATATATAGCTGGTCCGCCTAGGAGGCTGGGATTCAGTCTTCAGGCATTCAGCATCGGCACTCTCCGGAGATGCTGCAGCGGTAGTAGGTGACGATAGGAGTAGTCTTCCAGCGCTGGGCGCTGCTAAGATTGTAGGATAGCGCTAAGGGGGAGGAGAGTGGCGGAGGTCAGGGGACTTACCTGGGAGCTTACCTGTGACGCCATCGCTCCAGCTTCGTCTTCAGGGTACCTGCAGCAAGGGGCCACCTTTCACAGGTTAGTAACTGGCACAAAGAGAAAGAGAGAGAGAGAGAGAGCTCTCCTTCTTCTTCTTCTTCCTCCAGTCCACCATCTCTCCCTCACCCTCTAGGTACCTGACTTCTCAGTATCGGCAGACTACGAGAGAGAGAGAGAGAGAGAGAGAGAGAGAGAGAGAGAGAGAGAGAGAGAGAGAGCTGTCTCTTATACACATCTAGATGTGTATAAGAGACAGGGGCCAGGGAGACTTACCTGGGAGCTTACCTGTGACGCCATCGCTCCAGCTCGTCTTCGCAAGGCGCCACCTTTCACAGGTTAGTACCAGAGAGAGAGAGAGAGAGAGAGAGAGAGAGAGAGAGAGAGAGAGAGAGAGAGAGAGAGAGAGAGAGAGAGAGATTTGTGACTTTGGGATTTGACGACATTTGGTTTCAGACCTGACATTGGGACATCGACATTGGATGGGGGACTATTTGGGATCTATATCGAAGACATGGTGTTGACGACATCCTCATCCTCCCCTCCTCTTCGTCTGATCCCCCTCCTCCTCATCTGTGTATGATCTGAGCCTTGCGCATTCTTCCTGTGTGTAGCGCCGGCCCCCTTCACACCTTGTGATGATGATGATGTACGTTTGGTCTGCATTGCGACATTGATTGGTCTGATCATTGGTATTTCAGTCTTCCGCTTTGCTATCCTGTACTATGTGAGAGAGGTCGGTTCTTGTTCTCTGGTCTGCACCATATCGGTATGCGACAATGCCACAGCACAATCCTCTTTCCCTGTCCTTAAAGGCTTAAGCGTACCCCTTAAGAAACATGCTTAGAATCAGTTGAAGTAGCTCCTCTCAGCTCGCTGTTGCGGACTGCCGGATAGCTCAGTCACAAAATTAGGAGTACTTCAGTCCATCCTTGTATGGTGGTCTGTATTTGCTACTTTCCTCGTCGAGGTGCTTTGAGTGTCCCCTGTGCTACTGGTGCTGCCTTCTTCAAATGTACTTACATTTGAAGGAAGACCCCGTCATTACCCGTTCATCGTCTTGTTCTCCTTCCTCCTTCCTCCTTCCTCCTTCCTCCTTCCTCCTTCCTCCCTGATCCCATGCTGGTGGGCACACTCAGCCTTACCCCAGCACGCCTCCGTTTTACCTGTGTGCCTTCTACTTGAGTCCTCTCAGGAGAAAGGATATCCTGTCATAACTGCTGCTATGGAATCAGTTCTACTTTGCGTCCTCAACTGTGTTGGTCTGGGCTTTTAGGAATATTAAAGTTTAAACAGATCTGGGCAGGGTCCTGCTTTGACTAGATTTGCTGCTCTGCTTCTTTTTCTCCCCGCACCCTCTGTTGTACAGTCCCTCTAGCTATCCGCCCTCCTGCTTGGGCTGTCTGTAGTGGACTTGTATGGAAAGAAAAGGCACCGAATTGTATGCAGGCCCTGCCGTGCTGTTGGCAACGTATGCAATAGACTTTTTCATTGGACTATCAGCGACTCGTCGGGAGGCTTAAACCACCATTACATGCCAGTGAAATGGTTTCACCCAGCAGACCCGACATTTGCAGACACAGAGATTCGATCCCTAGACCTGTGCCCAAACCTGTACATTGACCCTGTGTGCTGACTAGATTCGATCCCTAGACCTACCCTTTACCCTGTGGATAGGCCCAGCGATCTGTGTAAGACTCGATCCCTAGGTCTGTAGATTAGGAGTTAGGTCTGTTACCGTAGGCTTAGGAAGGTCTGTTCTAGAAGTCTCTATCTGAGTCTACTGAGGCCTAGAGTCTGTTTGTAAGTCTGTAGGCTCTAGAAGGTCGCAGGTCCCTGTAGGCCAGTCCAGTCAGCAAGTACCAGGGGTAGGGGCTGCACGTGGGGAAGGTTCTGGACCACGCTGTGGGTTCCACACGTTTTGGCCAGAAGGCCAAACGTCTGGACGCTTCCCTGGGTCACACGTTTTAGCCTAGGCCCACACGTTTTGAGGCAGGGCCCGGGTACCTCTGAAGAAGTATAAATAAAGAGGCAGCGTCCAGCCATTCATTCATTCGCCTATGTGCCATGCGGAAGAGTTGCCTTGGTATCTTGTGTGTGGAGGTCTGCAGGTGCCCGGAGAGGAAGTGGGCTGTGAAGAAGACAGCGGCCATAGCGAACCAGCGAGAGAGACACCGGCGGCCATAGCTAGGAGGAGGAAGACGATGGCGGTCATAGCCGCCCAGCTGTTGGTGTAGACAGGGTGTACAGAGTGTGTGTGTGTGTACAGCGTGGACATTCAGGGTGATCCTCATACGTGCGTTCATGCGAGAGTGTGGGAGAGTGAGGCTGGTGGTAGAGACAGTGTTTGGCGGCCATAGCCGCAAGTTGTACAGTTGATTCAGACTGAGTTTAATACAAGGTCATTGTTGTTTCTGAGTTGGAAGAGTTTGGTTTGCCATCGGTTCTCAAGTGTGCATGTTGTAAGCAAGTCCAGAGTCGAGTCTGACTGCACCAGCCATCGGCCACGGGCGCCTTTCGGAGGCCGCCCACCGTTGATTTACTTTGTCGATGGCGTGTTGTGAGCCTCCTAAATTTTTTCGCAGAGGCTCAATCGGACTCTCAACTTGGCTGGGGCCTCCATGTACTGGTGGTTTAAGCCGCAAGTACGCCGCCCAGGCAAACTTTAGAACTGGAAAAAAAAAAAAAAAAAAAGAGTCGTTCCTAAAAGTTTGGATAACCAGCGCTACTGGACCAAAATTAAAAAAATGTCAAAATGAGTTATTTGAAACAGTATTCACCTGTTCGCAGTAGCGGATGCAAGTCCCAGGGCTCGATCCCTAGACCATCACCTTACCCGTGTACAGTATCTGTGTCGACCCCAGGAGTTGAACCCTCGACCTGTGTCCTTTCCCGAGTTGGTAGGTCGTCGTAGGTCTGTAGGTTATAGGGGTTCGATCTGTAGACCTGTCGGATAGGAGTCTCAGCAAGGTCTAGAAGTCGTAGCTGTAGCTCCTCCGAAAGGTCAAGGTCGTAGCTGCTACAGTATCGAAAGGCCAAGTCCACGGCCTTCCGGAAGGTCCTAGTAGTGGCCTTTCGAAGCTGCTCACGTTTAGGCTGAGGCACGTGGGCAAGTGGTGGAGTCTACCCGTGCTGAGTCAGCAGTGCCAGTCCCAGTCAGTCCTAGTCCAGTCAAGCAAGTACCGTACGGGACTGTGTGCACCACGGGCGTGGGAAAGGGCCAGACCAACGAACTACAGAAGTATAAATCAAGAGGCAGTGCCCAGCCATTCATTCATTCCTGCGTAAGCCATGCGGAAGCGCTGCCATAGCGACTTGTGTGAGGTGGTCTCCAGTGAGCCCAAAGACGAAGTGGGCGAGAGAAGGAGCTTAGCCATAGCGATAGGGTAGCAGCGGCCATAGCCGCCATAGCTGTTAGGAGAGTGTAGCGTGTGGGTGTGTATGTCTGTACAGAGTGCCGCATGTGGGATATCCAGGGTGATCCTGTGTGTGTGTGTGTGTGTGTGTGAACAGAGAGTTGTACGGGCGCTGTGACGCCATAGCCATTTGAAGTGAACTTGTATCTGAACTGTGTTCCTGGTTTTGCATATTCCTAAAAGGGAAAGCAAACATTGTGCCGGCGCTTTCCGTCGTGGCAAACCGAGGTTTTTTTAATTTTTACTTTGTTTTTTTTTTTAATCGAAATGTTGGCGGCAAACAGAGGCTTGGATGTACTGGTGGGGTTGAATCCTTACTGTAAGTCATAATCCACCTGACCTGAGCTGCGGTTGAGCATCAACAATTGCCTTTCGCAAACGATAGACACACTGAGGTGGGCACCAACCACTGCCCTCACGGTTACCTGTGATGAACATCAAATCAGAGTCAGCAGACTATCACTCACCCACACCAGATGGAAGAAAAAAGGAGGGAGGAGGAGGGAGGAAGAAAGGGAGAAGAGTGGGTAGTCAGTACTAGTCACAATCATATTATTAAGACAGCATTCAATCATTATCAGCCAATCCCCAACCACTGTTGATTTTTCCTACTATGTTGGCATGGTTTCCCTGCCAACTCTCTGATGTCCTGCCCTGTCCTCCTATTCATCCTCTGCCTTCACATATTCAGCCCAGTCTTTCACATCATTCTTCCTCTTCTTCCTCTTCTTCCTCCTGATTGTCCCCTCCAGATTGTCCCCTCGCAACATGGTTTCCTACGCCCTCCTCTCCTTTCATCCTTCCCCTTCTTTCTTCAACCCTCCCCACTTATCCTTTGTCCTCCTGTCTATGTCCTTGTCCAAACTCTTCATCCAATCCTCTTGGTGATCCTCGAGTAGCTGCCTTGGTAGAGGTAAGGCCGAGACGGCTGAGTTGTCGCTTGGGGGATAGGCTGTTCGGCAGCCAGCTTGCTGCCGAGGAAGCCATTGCCACTAATCCGGCTCAGCAGAGGAGTTGATCACCTGCATGCAGCGGACAAGCAGAGCACGTGACACACAGCCATATCCAAACACATGGGAGAACACAGGCACCATACCACCATTCTTCTCCATCGAGTTCTTCTTCTGGGTCCACTCAGGCCGGGATGTCCATGTCCGTTCCTACAGTGCCCTCGCAACACAGCATGATTACCTCTCAGAGTCACTTGATGTACTGCAGATGTATCAGTGCAGGTTGTGTATAGGGTTGAGTGTTACGGGTAAGTAGTCCTAACTTCAAGGGGATTTGGGGGGGGGGGGGGGGGGGGGGGGGGGGGGGTGGGGGGGGGGGGGGGGGGGGGGGGGGGGGGGGGGGGGGGGGGGGGGGGGGGGGAGGGGAGAGGAGAATGGATGGTAACGGTCCAGGGAGAGATCTGGGGAAAGGGAGAGGGGGGATTATTAGAGAGGGTGGAGCCAGTAAGGATAGTGAGTCCTTTCCCCATGTCTGAGGTAACCATCGGATCGACGGATCATAAGGGAATAATACCTGATACGGCGAGTTCCTGCCTCGACCGTTACTTTCTTGGTGGTGCGATCTTGTCCGATGCTTTAGCTCACGATCTTGTCCTTCGGAATCAATGTATCGGGGTATCCCTGCCCATGAAAGCAGGGTGACCGTCGTGCTGTTGTTCCTCTCGTAGCTTCCTGGGATAGCGAGCGATGCTAATTTAGATGGTTCTGTGCTAAGTGTGTAGATCCATGCAATGAGTCGTCAAAAGCATGGTTATCATGTAGTTGATCCAAATGCATCGCCTTCGATGTATTTCCCGTCCCATGGAAGTAAGGTCGAGCAGTTGTTCCGTGTGGCTTCTAGGGATTGGGATGATATGCATGGATCTCTACTATGTGCATGCTTCATGTCATCCCCATTTCAGTTACTTTCTT